CACCCCGGCCGCGCCGGATGGCGGCTGACTAGCGCAACTGCTGCTCAGCTCGTTTAAATCAGCGCAGGTCGAACGTTTCATGGTTTTTATGAGCCATCCCTCGACCGTCAGCCGCCGCTGCCTTGAGGATATGGCGTCAGATGACCCTAACGGCGGCCGAACCATTAGTTTTATAACTGTGCCCTGTGTGTAAATTGCTTTCATTCATCCTCAAGGTAAATGATAAAGCATGGTAACGCGTTCAACCTCTAGTATTGTTTCGCAGCAATAAATGGGTATTAACTCATCAGAGCTAGTCCTTGCTCCTTTTCTTCATGTTCCTTCAAGCAAGCTTTGGAAATAATGCTCTTTCGCTTGTGTAATGTACGACTGACTTCTCCTGCAGCAATTTCCAGCAGTGCACACCGAGCTAGCGTCCTATCGCGGGCATTAACCCCTCAGCCTGCCTGGTCAGGCAGTTATGCTCAGGGGTCCGTATCGGCATGAAGCGATGAGACACAAACCAAGAATCACGGGGAAGAAAGCTCTCGGTGAATTAGTTCCCTCTGGAAACCTAAGGAGGGAAGAATAGACTATTTATTATGATCTTTGTGATTTTACTTTAATTCAGTGCTTCGCAGCACTGTGAGAATTTGGCTGTTGCTGAGCAATGATTATAGGCAGTAGCTAATAATGGTCGTATAAGTCTAATTTTATCGTGTCTCACCCTCAGTTGTAGGAGTGAATAAGAACCTCCAGTCCGATCTATTTAAAATGTAATCTTACACTAATACCACTGATCTTCTCCTCACATTTCATTGGTGTGCAATTGCTTCTAGCGAGCGGCCATCCGGGCTTGTGCCCCACGGGCAGACGGGTTGCTGCTGCCTCTCCGGGGTGGCAGCTAGGACCTCAACAAGCCAGGACCTGCTCTGGGACATGGATGGTTGGTGGTGGGTTCCTCCGACCAAGGCTGAGGACCCAGGCAGCTGCAAGGTTTTGCCAACATCTGCACTCCAAAAAGGAGAGCCTTTCCATCACAAATATTGTCATTTTGTGTTTGTCAGTCGCTGTACCCAGTTCAGGTAGCCTGCCTCTAGCTTCACCAGGTCCGTAGCACTGAGATCCCTCAGCTGCCTTGCTGGCGCCCCAGAGAGAGCCTGGGCTGACATGTCATGGTAACATCCTGTGGAAACTGCTGGGGCAAGGAAAAGCTAGGACCAGGTTCCTCTGCGACAGGCGTCCAAAGCGCTGTATACATAATGTGATTTGCAGAGGTAAAGACAGATGTGGCCGTTAAAATGTCAAAAGCCGTGCTGGAAACGTGGACGGGCGCGCTGCGTAGCCGGCGCCGGACAGCGGCTCCCCCGGCAGCGTC